CAAACCACTTCTGGAACTGAAGACTAACTGTACTTGAAACAATCGAAAGACAGTGATCACATCACCGCATTTCTAATTTCAAGTTGACTATCAGAGCTGACTGTGCTCTTCTGCGCGCAGCTCCCCCCAACCCGGGCCTGTGCACCCCTGAAACGCCCCTTTAAAATCTCTTGTCCCCTGATCAGCAAGGGGGAGTTGATTCTTTGGGACATGAGCCCACCTTCTCCCCAGGATTGCCAGCTTCCTCAATAAAGCTGCCTCTCCTCTTACCGAACACTTGGCCCTTAGTATTGTATTCCTGAGCGATGAGCAGCACAGCGTGAGTTCCGTAACGTAAGGAGTCAAATATTCATTTGATGCCTCCTATGTGACGGGTACGGAGGCAGGGAACAGTCCCAGTGCTGCCTGTCTGTCTGCTGGGGACCTGGACAAGGGTCCCTAGGTCATTAGGAGACACAGAGAGAACAGCTGGATGGCCGAGGACAGGTCAACAGGTGCACCCAGAGAGTCACCTGCCCCCATGTGGGTCCCAGCCTTTCTCTTCTGATTCTTCCGATGCTTCTAAGCTTAGAAAATCCTTTGCCTACATTAGTTTATGGCAACGGCTCTTCAAGAGGTACATCTGTTCCCTCCCTTGAGTCGTCCCAATTTCTGCATCTCCTTTCACCTTTCAGAGGGCTCAGGGCTGTCTCTGCTCAAGCTGGCTGCTTCAAGGGTCCTGGCTTGGAGGTAAAGCCACTGTCCGCTTTGCTTCCAGCTCGGCCAGGCAGCCAGGCCTGTAATGGATCCTGATGCGGGAGGCTGGGCAGCGATGTGCTGCAGTCAGTAGGTGTGGGCACCTACTTTTAGGTTTACCTCCACTGATATTTCCCTTGTTATTGAAGATGAATAGGTAAATGTAATAAATGCTTACTTGTTTAAATGTTTCACCTTTCTCTTTTTTTTCCTCCCCCACCCGAAGGGTCCCTTGGGCTAGAATCTAATTAGCAACAAATTCTGGTGATGAAATTTTTGCAATATGAAACACAAACAACTGAATAGAATGGGGCACAGGTGTATGAGTCACCTGCCTAAGCGTGCCAGCAGGGCAACACACACAAGCCAGGCTGTGAGGAGAACAGAATACGCCCCTTTGGCATGTAGGCTATTTTGAGCTGTAGGCAATCAGGAGCCAGCAGGCTCAGGAAAACTATGACCTCTTCCTTAACTACCTAAAAGAATTGAGACAGGGGGCCTGTAGAAGAGCTATTACCAGAGAGAACTTTTTTATCTGAAACACTTCCCTGCACAGCAGGGCCAACATTAATTACCGAACTCAGCTTCTCTGTATCGTCCCGTGAAGGGCCCTCCTCCCCTTGGGAGCCCCAGGCCCCCATCCCATTCTTTGAGGCATATAAGCCTCAATTGCCAGGCTCGCCCTTGGTCTCATATCTCTGGGGCTCCTACATGTAAGAAATTAAATTTGGTTTTCTCCTGTTCATCTGTCTTATATCAATTTAATTGTCAGTACAGACAAAGAATCCAGAGGGGAAGAAGTGAAAATGTCTGCAGCTCTACAGCTGTCTTGCTGGGGTAGAGGGACCAGGGGGACACTGAGGAAAAAAACCACAGAACGCCGTGGCTTCTTCTGACTCTGGGAGAATCAGAGATCACAAGTGAAACTCCAAAACTGCCTAATTTAAAATTTTGATCCTTCTGAATAGGGATTTCAAATTGAAGTGAATGGCCTCAGGACTCTAGATGGGGAGACGGGACACTAGGTCTCTTCCCCTGGCTCTAGCAGGATCAAAAGCTGTGTCGTCAAGGAATGAGATGAATGTCAACATTTTTCAGGGCATTTGGGTAGAAAAAGTAATGCTAATTATGGGTTAGACTTATGTTAGTATAGTAATTATAGGTAACGATAGTGGTAACATCATCAACTCATCCTAGGGCTCAGACACCGTCCCAAGCATTTTATGCTCATTAATTCACTTAGTGCTTCATTTAAGCACAGAGAGGTTCAGCACTTACTCCTATGTCACACAGCACGTACAAGGAAAGGGTGGATCAGCATTCAAGGGTTTGACCTTCAGAGCTTGCCTTCCATGGCAGCTGGAAAACATGTCTGGACCCAAACCTGCAGCAATAAAGCAACATTGACTCCATAAAGCAGCATGAGACAATGACTATACAGACAATGGCCAGACCATGTCCATGTGACAAGTGACCCACCACCTGTGCAACAACCATCCAGAAGCCAAACCACAGCCTCTGCAGCCATTGGCCCAGAATGTCAGGAGGTGGCCGTGACAGTCACCTTCCCTAATTTTTGCCCCATCCCCCTTCTAACTCAGGACAACCAGAGAAGGCCAAATATGCCCCTGAAAGCAATCAAACAGGACGCCCAGCTTGTAGTGAGCCTGCCCACAGCCTCCCCGGGCCCAGAGACTCCATCAGGGCACACCTAAGCTTTCCTTTTTTCTAGTATAAGCCACCCCCTCCTCTGCCTGCCTGTGAGTCTCTGTCGAAACCCAAGTGATGGTGGTGGATCCCCTGCTACAGCCAGCTCTGAAAAAACAAGCCTTTCCACAGGTGTTGCCCTCCTAGTTCTAAAATGTGAGCACCTGCAGACCCAGGTCCAGCAGGGACAGAGGGTCAGGCATAACGAGGCGCCTCAAGGTGTCCGCCGCCACCGCCTCGAGCTGCAGGATGACAAAAGCCACAGAACCGCCTGCCTTGCCCTTCTGGGTCGTTATTTTCTGATGCTTTGTTTTTGACACAGAGGAGTTTTCCATTTTTATGGGGTCAAATCTGTCTCTCATTCATTCATTTACTCAATTATGAATTGTGAGAGTCTTGAAACCCAGTTCTGTGACTGGTTTATAATTAACACTCATGCTCTGGTGTCTGTTCTTGTTTTTCCCTCTTGTCCTAGCCCATACCTGTTTGATCACATTTTTGCCTAATCAATAAGGAGTAGTGAAGGTCAGAGGCTTGGAGCCACAGCGTTCCAATAAGCATCACTGTTTATGTGCTGTTCTGAGTCATCTTCCAGGGCAAGATGACCTTTACAGAGTATGTTGACACAGACTCCGGAGTCACAGGCCACCAGACCAAAGACACGTAGACGGCAGATGATTCAGATGATTCACCCCAGCTCCTCTGTCCTTCCCCTTTAAAAACTGCTAACTCAATTTTTCTAAATGTAAATTGGAAGTGCCAGTTCAAGTACTCTGCCTATTTTTAACGATGTTTTATTTATTCATTCGTAGGAGTTATTTATATATTGTCGGATATGTGTAGTGAGAATATTTATCCCAGTGGGTGGTTTGTTTTTTCATTCTTGTAAAAATGTCTTTCAATGAATAGTTCTTTCTTTTCATTAAATGCAAATGATCAATTAAGAAAAATAAAAACTGCTAACTCAGACCAATGAGGAGTGGATCTGAGGCTTCCCTCCTCCCTTGCCTGGAGCCCTTACTTTGCTGCAAACCCCGCTGTCAGGGTTTGGCTTTCTGTGCTTGGGCCTTTGATGGGTGTCAGTCTCTCCTCCCCTTCCCCCCAGGGCTCAACCACACAGCACCTCCCATGCTTCCCTGAACTTACACAACAGGCTCTGCCCTAGAAAGTACCAGAAAGGCTCACCTCCCCACACTTGCTCACGGGCCACTCCCAGTGGGCCCACCAGGAGGCGAGGCTGGGCCTCTGCCTGCAGAGTCAGCACCCAGTGATGGGAGAGGCCCAGTGACCACTGAGGTGCAGCCCTGTCGGGTGCAGGGGGGGCAGCTGGATCTTTCTGAAAGGCCAGTCCTGTTCAGACAGCTCCCAGCACAGGCCCCACCCTGCCCCAATATGACGGGGACCCTTCCCTTCCCAGGACGTTGAACCTTCTCATCCCAGGATGTCTCAATCCCAAACCAAACCCCGTCAGAACCAAGCCCTTAACTAACTCCATCCACCTGACCCCACCCCAGCCTGAGACCCTGGGAGTCATCACCTCCCCATCACTGGACTCCTTTGTGCCTCTTCCGTCCACCCACGTCAGCCCTTCACTGTGTCCCCGGGTCACAGGCCCATGATGTTCACAGCAGCCCACATGACAGGCCGGCCCAGGTGGGGCGCTGGGCCTGACCATGGGACGAGGGGCGCCAGGCAGGCAGATGCCCGCGGGAGGGAGGGCCTGCCAGCCCGCCCCTGCCCCTCTCCCCCAGCCCCCCCAGCTCCCGCGCTGGGCGGGGGCTTCTCTCCTCTCCGCCCTCGGTCCAGCTGGCCGCTGCTCTCCGGACCCCAAACGCCCCTGTCGTTTCAGGACCCACTACTGTCATCTCACGCAGTGGGTCAAACTGTGGGGACCCGGAGACCAAGACAGGACAGTGGGGTCTGGGGGCACTGTGTGGTCCGGGAGGCCAGGGAGGAGTCAGGATGGGCCAACTCCGCCCCGCGCCCTGCCCCGCACCGGGCCGGTACCCCCGAGGTCCCCCGTAGGGCAGTGCCCGGGGCAGCGCCCGCCCAGCCACCGCGAGACCCGGAGCACGTCCCTTCCCAGGAACCTGCGGACCGCGCCCGCACTCCCACCCACACCCTGCAGGGCCCCGCCCACCCTCTCCCCGGGTCCTGCGGCCGCGACGCATCCCGCCCTGTGACTCAGCCGACGGGGGTGGCTGACACCAAACCGAGGGAGAGGGGACAGCCCTACAGCACACGACCCTTGGTCTGGTCCCGCGAAGGTGCCTGCCGGGGCTCCCAGGCTGCGGCCTGCTCCCGCCCACGGCGCATCCCTATCAGGACGCCCCGCGCCCCATTCCCGTCCCGGGCGCCCGGCACCCCATTTCCGGTCCCGGATTCCCCCCAGCCGCGGCGCGCAGTGGTTCCGTCCGCGCGTCACGTGACCGCCGCGCCCGGTCCTGGGCTCTTTTTCTGTCAGCTGCTCCCGCCAGAGTCAGCTGCTCGTTCGCGTCCGCTGCTGCCGAGTGACCACCGCCTGGTGTCCACGCCCGCCCCGCCCGCCTGCCGCCGAGATGATGTGCGGCGCGCCCACCCCCACGCAGCCGGCCACGGCCGAAGCCCAGGCCATCGCCGACCAGGTCAGGGCCCCGGGGGGGCGGATGTGGTCCTGGGGGCCCGGGCAGTCCGTAGGCGTCGCCGCTGGGACAGAGGCGGTGCGTCCGAGCGCATCCCGCCGTTGGCCGGGCTGGTCGCAGGCCGATGCCCCCTCCCCGCCTGGGAAGCGCGCCCGCGAGCGGAGGTGTCCACAGGGGTAGGGCCGCGACGTGCCCGTTGGGGAAAAGCACTTAGAGAGCAAGCGGTACAGTAGGAGGGGTGAGGTAACCCTGAGTGAGTCCGGGGACAGGGTCCACAGGCGTCCTAGACAGGCTGTTATTCTAGCACTTTCGTGTACGTTTGAGGTTCTCTCCAAATGAACAGCTTCGAAACGCAATCCAGCCTGGGTCGCGGAGGCAGAGCCTAGTTCGGACCCTGGGCAGCTGTCGGGCCGGGTTCCGAGGAAGGCACCTGCACCCAAGGATCAGGTGAGGGTGGGAGGAGCCGGGCCTGCCCCGCCTATCCTCGTGTGTCAGCAAAGTCGGCTCTTGACAAGCAAGACCCCTTCCCGCCTCTTCGTGGTTTTCCGGGCCTGAGAATTCCCCGCTTGTCATGTGAACTTTATATGTGTGTCAGCTCACTTGGGAGGGAAGAGCTACTGTCTCAAAGGGCCCCTTCATTTGGGGTCAGTTCCTTGAAAGTGAAATGTCAGTGGACCGTTCTCACTGCTCCTGGGAACAAGGAGGCTGCCTTTGTGCTGGGTGGTCCCTGTGAGCGGCATGGGCACCATCTGGTGGCCCTTTGTACTGACGCTTTTGGGACAGTCTGGGCTGCACATGAGAAGATCAAAGGCCAGAGACCAGCCCGGGTCAGAAGGATGTCGCGGTGCTGCATTCTGCCCCCGTCTCCTCCAGCCCTGTCCTAGGGCCCTCCCTGGCCCTCTGCCCCACCTGGTCCCCTCCGGGCCGGGAACTGGGAGCTTCCTAAGTGACAGGGGGGCCTTCTGCACAGCCCCTGGCTACAGCCCAGCTCATCTTTCTCCTGGCCGGCAGGCAGCGGTGTCAGTGACCTGCCGTCCCACAGGCTGTGGCCTGGCCCGGCATTCGCCGCCTGCACATGCTCTGTTCCGCCACCGCCTTTAGGGTTTTCTCAAGCCAGTCAGTCTTTGCACAGGGCGGGGGCTCTGTGCAAGCCCCCCTGAAGCAGAGAGAGAGACGATTCCATCTCAGACCCCCAGGAGGGTCTGTGGGTGTCACTCACCCCCCTGGTCTTGTAAACTGTGTGCAGGGTCAGTTCCCTGCAGACCTGGCAGGCACCTGGCAGGAAGAAGGGCCCCACGGGGGAGTGTTCCGACACAGGTGGGCACCAGCCCCAGGGGACACGTGCACCTCCGTGGGAGCCGTGGCAGCTGCGTGGAGAGAAGGCGGCCTGCCTTCTCACTTCCTGACCCTCCCTCCTGTCCTTTCTGCCCACCTTATCCATAGGGAGCCCCCCTCCCTGAAGGCCTTTGCCACAGGGACTCGCTGGCATGCGTGGCGGTGACCCCTTCAGCTCCCAAAGCAGCATGCTTCTGGGCTTCACTGAAATCCTCCGACCCTCTAGAACTGGTCCTGTGACTGCAGTGCAGAGTCAGTGTGCTCTAGTGCCTGCCAGTAATCCAGAGAGCAGCCAGAGCACTTTGAAACTAGATTAGGTTTTAAAGTCAAGACAAAACAACCTGCTCCCCGCTTCCTCCATAAGAATGCTCAGTTCCCAAAAGGCCAAGACCCTGGAAAACAGGACTGATCCGAAAGTGTGATTACCGTCTGACACCAAGGATCAGGGACAGCCTCCGCCCAAAGGCTCTGCATCCTAGAGAAATCATCTAAAAACGCAGCAAAGCGTTTTTCCCTGCAAAAGTATGTTATCTGCTGCATTATCTGTCACACAAGAAATTGGGAATACTTAAGAGAATTAAGGCACATCTAGAAGATGGAAGATTAAATTTAATATTAAATTTAGTTTAACATTTTAAACTGTTTTAGCTTTCAATTTTAAAAGAGTAATTAGGGACTTCCATGGTGGTGCAGTGGTTAAAAATCCTCCTGCCAATGCAGGGGACACAGGTTCAATCCCTGATCTGGGAAGGTCGACATGCCACGGGGCAACTAAGCCCGTGCACCACAACTACTGAGCCCACGTGCCACAATACTGAAGCCTGCGTGACACAGCTACTTGAAGCCCGCGTGCCTAGAGGCCGTGCTCCGCAACGAAGAGTAGCCCCCACTCGCTGCAAGTAGAGAAAGCCCGCAAGCAGCAACGAAGACCCAACGCAGCCAAAAATAAATAAATAAAAAAGTTTTCTTTAAAAATAAACAAATAAAAGTGTAATTAGGAACTTCCCTGGTGGTCCAGTGGTCAAGAATCCTGCTTCCAATGCAGGGGACGCAGGTTCGAGCCCTGGTCAGGGAACTAAGATCCCACATGCCGTGGGGCAACTAAGCCCGCATGCCACAACTACTGAGCCTGTGCACCACAACTACTGAGCCCGCGCGCCGCAATGGAGAGCCCGCGTGCGGCAACTGAGACCCGATGCAGCAAAAATTAAAATTAAAAAAAAATTTTAAAGAGTAATTCAAAAACTATATATACTCTTCGCAGTGAACTGTTTGTTAAGTAAAAGAGAAAAACAGGGTATGGACTTAACGTACGTTGTCGTGATGATGAAAATATCAAACTATTCCATGCCTGGCAAAGAAAGGGAAAATGATACAGAGAGATAGTACCGTTGAAACTCGGCAGAATTAGAGAGCTGTTTTCTGTACTTTATCATCAGAGCTGACAATTTGATGTGTCTGCTCAGTTGTGAAGAACAGTCGTGTTCTAGAAAGTCTGTAGAGGGCAGGCATCAGAGTTCAGCCGTGACACTTAATTCAAGTAAGTGCATGTGTGTCTCCGTTCTCTCCTCCCCCAGGTGAGGTCCCAGCTGGAAGAGAAGGAGAGGCAGTTCCCGATGTTCAAGGCTGTGGAGTTCAAGAGCCAGGTGGTCGCCGGGAGGGTCTTCTTCATCAAGGTGGGATGTCGGCCTCCTCGGAGGGCCTGGCCTGAATTGGGGGTGCCAAGGTGCCTGGGCAGGGGTGCTTAAGAGGGCCGAGTGGCAGCCCCCAGCTTCAGGGGGTTGCTGGCCATCTAAAATGAGCACACGTGTGCACGCACGTGTGTGTGTGTACACGTGTGCGCCCAGCCTCCTGGAGGGGAGGACCGAGCCTTTCAGGGACTCGGGGCTCTGATGGAGTGAGTGTGGGTGCCGGGTGCTGGCTGGGGCAACGAGGGCGTCCCCTGCACTCGATGGAGGAAGGTGGGAATGTCCTCAGCCCAGTCTCTGGTCACCTGAAGGGACATGGCCTCCTGGCACCCAGGGCCTTTCTCCCAGTCCAGCCGAGGTCAGTGGAGCAGGGGGCCAGAGGCCGCACCCGCCCCTCACTGGACTCTCTTTCCAGGTTCAAGTGGATGTTGACAACTTTGTGCACATTCGAGTATTTGAAAGCCTCCCACAGGAGAACAAACCCTTGGTCTTGGCCAGCTACCAGACCCACAAAGGCAGACACGACGAGCTGACCTACTTCTAGTCCCGATTTTGCACAGAGCCCGTCGCCCATGTGGGTCTCTCCACTGCCAACCTGTGTCTGGGACCTCACACGGTGCCACCCGGCGGGGGGCGGGATGCACCTCTCCGGTGTCTCTGTCCCTCATTTTCATTGTGTTCATTTTTTTCTCCCAGTCAATGATCCTAAGTAAATTACTTTCAAGGAGGGCTTGTGTTATCTTTAAATATATGTAATTTTTCAGTGTTCACAAATTTTCTCTGTTTTGGGGTTTTTCCTTCATCTGAGGCTGTAATCACAGTAGAGAGGTGTCACGAGGTGAGAGCTGTCCAGGGTGGAGCCCCCGCTGGGCCTCGTGCGGCCTGAGACCCCCTCCCCCTGAGCGGCTGAGCAGGGGTGGGGGATGCCCAGGTCACAGCAGGCGGGCTGTAGACCCAGGATTCCAGGAGCCTGTGTTCTGACCGCAGCTCCACACGCCTCCGTTGCTGTGACTCTGTATCCTGTCTCTAAGTATCCTGTCTCTAAAATACAAGGTTTGAGGGAATTCCCTGGCAGTCCAGTGGTTAGGACTCCGGGCCTTCGCTGCCGAGCGCGAGGGTCAATCCCGGTTGGGGAATTAAAATCTCGCAAGCTGCATGGCGCGGCCAAAAATGAATAAATACATAAATACACGAATACATTGTTTTCAGCAAATCCGATTCTAGAGCATTAGCTCGAGATGTCCTCAGACACACTGGCACATTTCTGGCTCTGGTACAGAGATGGTCAGGTGTGGGCAGGAGAGGTGGTAACCCTGCAGGTACCGCCGAGCGCCATCAGCCTGCAAGGCCGTTGCGAGCTCAGCCTCTGGGCTGCACGTGGTCTGCACCGTCTCCCACCCCTGAGACCCCTGCCCACCTGACGTTCCCCATGCCCGCCGGCACCCAGGATCCAGTCCTGCACTTCTTGGGCACGTAGGGCATTCCT